CCCCGGTCGCCAGCCTCGCCATCCGGGCCAGCAACATCAGCGATGCGCCCTTTTCCATATGCTTCCACAATGCTCCCCGCCAACAATACTCAGAAAAATGCACCCCTGTTAAGTTCTTTCTGCAATGGACCCGACAACCACAACAACTGCTCCAAAGGGAAAAACTTTCCGGCGTAGCCGAGGGCAAGGTGCTCCTGGGCGACCCGGGGCGCTGCTTCCGAGCAGGGCTTTCGTCGCTCTGCTTCCGTCGCACTTCTACGGGACACACTGTAAGTGCGAGAGAGACAGAGACGAAGGCAGCTCGGAATGGGTGGGCCTAGAGTGGCCGGAGGCGTGCCCCGGAACAAGGCAGCGAGGCAGCAAGGCAGTACTCCCGTCGAGGGCCGCCGGGTGCACTCCGCGAATGCAAACCGATGCGCTGCACCGATGCGCTGCACCGATGCGCTGCAGCGAATGCATTGCGGCGGCCTCGGCCTCGGGCAGGCCTCTTGCCTCGGCCGAGTGGCCCAGTCCGGCAGTCCGGCCCAGTCCGCCGCAGCGCCGCTCCACTCTCAGGTGTCGCCAGGCCCAGCGCGGCCCGGCGAGATGCTCCGGTGCCTCCATATCATACGACGTCATTTGCATAAACGGTTCTGGCCGATTGCCAGGGCCAGATATACGTCGTGCCGTGCCGCGCCGTGCCGCGCCCAGCCGCGCCCCTGGATTATAATCCTCTTGTTTCGATGCAGATCTGCATGCATGGCCAGATTGGTAATTCCACCTTCGTATCGAAATACTAGTGGGGCCCTGCCCTGCCCAGCCCTGCCCAGCCCTGCCCAGCCCTGCCCTGCCCAGCCCTGCCGCCGGTCGACCTGTGGTGATTGGGAATGGAGCGAAGCGGGCAACTTCAGGAGGTTCACGGCCTGTCTGTTTGTCTGTGTGTCTGTCTGTCCGACCGTCCGTCCGCCCGCTTTAGAGACCGGCCGGCGTGCGAATCGGACTAATGCAGCGGGCCAGCATCCACACCGCCGCCAGCACAGACTGCAGGCTAACAAAAGCGCTGTTTGGTTCTTTATCCAACAAAACAACAACAACAAACATCGACAAACAACAACAAACGACGACAACGGCGGCGATCCGCTATCGGCGGCAAGCCGGCGGATGATCCGGGGCTGTACCTTAATAAGGCCCAGTCGGTCCTTCCGCCGTCGTGTCTATGTTTATTTTATCGGCACTTTATGGCCCGCCGAGTCCGATTGGACTGCCAGCTCGGCATGTGCCGCCGCCTGCCTGCCTGCCTGCCTGCCTGCCTGCCTGCCTGCCCGCCTGCCTGCCTGAACTCGATTCGCGGCGCGCGCGTTTCGCACTCATTGGATTGAGTGTTATTTTTATGGCCCGCTGGGTCTGCGTCTGCGTCACAGGAGAGAAAAAGAGAGAGACGTCTGCGTGCGCGCCTGTGTGCGTGTGTCTCACACGCGAATGTGACAAAGATTGCTGCAACGAAAGTCAAACAGCAAACAAGACGACACGTCGCCGCTGCCTTCTCTTTTTGGGATGCAGTTTGTTTCTCTGCCTTTTCGATGCGAGTGTACCTGCGGCGGGTCGTAAGTGTTGGCCTGTCCGCGCCGCGACCGCCGCGACCGCCGCGTGCGTGAAATATGGAGGGAGAAAACTGGCGCCGCTTTTACGCGTGCGCGGTTTTTACTGCTGGGGCAATTAGCGCGCATCTACATAGTGGTGCGCGGCTGCGCGGCGAAGACCACTCGCCACCGGTTCCACAGTGTGGCGGTTCCGCGGCGAGTCCTGCTGGACCCGAAACGGGCCGACGACGAGGTCCTGGACGAGGTCCTGGACGAGGAAAGTGCCGAGTCAGGCAGGCGAGGGGTCATCCGCGCGGCGAGGCGACGAGAGTTCGATCCTCTCGAAAGCACGCCAGACTTAAAACCTCACTTCTTGGCGGAGTCTTTTCTGCAGCGTCGTCCTCGTTCGCGTCATTGGGCGGCGCATCGCGCGCTTACAGTGTCTTCGCGCCCGGGTGGGATGTAACCAATCAGCTACGAGATAATCGTGCCTCGTCGTCACATCACGAGAGGGAGCGGGAGGGAGCGCGCGCGAGAGAGAGGGAATGTCATTACAGGGGGAATGCGGGCCGCTCCACTATTTCAACACTTTTTACGACGGTTCGAGCGAAAAATTGGCTCCACCACGCCGGCCCTGCATCGCTCGGTCTCTCTCGCAGCCCCACGGGACGCCCCACGAGTGCGAGAGAGACAGAGCGACGGCTGTTCGGAACGAACCGGCTGCGCCCTAGCTGAGCCAAGGCTAGAGCCGGGCCCTCGGCCGGGCCGGCAGGCGTGAGGCAGTCAGCGGCGACAGGACTCACTATCGGCACGGAGAGCTCTCGCAGAGCGACGCAGAGGTTCCAATGCCAGTTAATAGCCTTTGGGAGGGGGAAGGGGGGGGGGACGACAGCTTTAGACCCAGCCGGATGACCAGGGACCCAAGGAAGGGCTTGGGAGGGAGCGGCCGGCCGAATCACGCTACACGCTTTATTGGCTGAGCGATGCTCTGATGCACCCTCCGTCTCCCTAGTGCGAGGGAGACAGAGCGACGAAAGCACGGCTGCATAGGGTGGAGATGTGGGTCGTTTCTTTCGCCAAGCCGCCCCGAGCCACCCTTCCTAATGTGGCCCTAACGACCCCGGCAGCCCGGCCAGGCCATTTCGCCGCCGAGGTGAGACCCGCAGCGAGGCTAGCGAGGGAACGCGGAGGGAATGTCAGTCACAAAAAGCATTTCGACATGCAGTTGAAAAAAGAAAGGCATTACGAACACGCTATTGAAGGCAGATAAAACCCATGCGAGGCACATTCCCTGAACTCTTACATTACATTAAATATCGGCCTTGTTTATCCACAATTAACGGGCGACGAAAATGTTCCTGGATTTTTCGATATTTCGGCGAACAGGTGCGGCGCATTCTTTTAAAGTAATGTTCTACGAATAGATATTTTTCGATACTTTGGCGAACGGGTACGCGCCTCTTTTGAAGTAAAGTTGGCCGTTTCTCGCTGGCCTGCCTTTTCAGAGGCGAGGGTTCGTCCTTCTGTCATTAACGCGGAGCCCGGAGTCTGGACTGGAGTCTGGAGCCCGACTGGCCGAAGTAGATTAATTGATGGAGAGGGATGGCGGCGGCTCTGGGTTCGCGTCGCACATGTTCACCAACTCCAGAGAGGTAATGGTGAAGTTGGCCAAATCACAAATCATAGCACACGTGTGGCGACCGCATAACACCCCGCGGGGCAGCCTCACACACGTACACACACACAGACAGCGTGTGCAATATGGGAAAGAGCACGCGGACGTAACAAAGTTCCTCTCATGCGCATTTTGCTCTCATTCGTATTGCACTCGTTAACGGCATTCACACACACACACACACACACACACACCACACACACACGCACGCACGCACAACACGCACACGAAAACAAAACACCGGAAAGGCAGGGAATGAAGCAGCAGGGCGGCTTGCCGTGGCTTGGGTTAGTGCTGCTGGGAGGCACGCTGGAAGGCACTCGTCAAAAGGTGCACGTTACTGCTCCGGGAGCAGAGATCACCCGGAGTGGTCCTGCCGGCTGGCCGGGCTGATGGCCGGGCTGGCCGGGCCGGCCGCTCGGACGAAGGGGGCAGGGCGCGTGTTTACAAACAGAAACGACAGCAGGCGCCGAGTCAACTTTTCAGCTGACACATAAATAATTTGAAGCGGTCGGTCAGCATGGCCGCGGCACGCCCGCGCGCGTGTGGGAGTGCAACAAAATGACATGGAACGGGAGGGGAGGGAAGACACAACAGGAGCGGAGCTCATCATTTTAATAATCAGTCTGTGCGTCTGTCTGCCCGTCGTACGTCTGTAGGTCCGTCCGTCCGTCCGTCCGTCCGTCCGTCCGCCGCGGCCGCGTTCCGAGTGCACCTGTTTGAAAGGCCGCTGCGCTGCCGCCGCGTCGCTGAGGTGGGTGCTCGAGTCGCCAATTTGACGTCTCGAATGCACCGCGCCGCACCGCCACTCGTCTGGCCAACAAAAGTCGAACACAATGATACGAAAATAACGAGCTCCACCCCGACATGCCGCGAAAAAGGAAGAGAGCGACAAAGTTCGGCAAGGCGCAGTATTTCAGCCTCCGTCGGCCGGGGCGGCCAGGGCGGCCGGGGCCGTTTATTAGTGGATTAAATCAGCCGTGCAGCCAGTACGTTATGGGGCGGGGTAAGCAAGGGCAGTGTGGTGGTTCGGCCCCACACCTGCTAATAGTGATTGGTGCGGAGGGCCCTGGAGACGCTGCCGGGCCCACACTGTGTGTGCCTCCCGGTCCCCCAAGTTGTCCGAGACACGATCGTCAGGTCCAATCCCCGCTGCTCAGCACACACTCTTCTAATTGGGCATCGCCGGTGTAGTGCCAAGTTTGGAGGGGAGGGGGAGAGAAACCCAGGGGGCTGTGCGTGTGTGCGTGTGTTCGTGTGAGGTGGTTGCTCGCATTATTATCCGTTGGCGGGGTCTCTGATCAGTGAGCGAGCCTGCATTTTTACATACTGTATTACCCCGCCGAAATCGATATTATAACCCGGCCCCCTTTCTCCCCCCCCCCCCCCCCTCTGCTTGCTTGGTGCCGGGAATGAGGCAATAATGAGCCCCCCGTCACTTTACCCGGGGCTTCGCGTCCGCGCGGCTCCGCGTCTGAGGCGGCTCCAGGCACCACAAAGACTGGTCGGCGCCTCGGCGGGTAATCGGGTGCTGGAGTTTTTTTCCTGGCCACTTTTTTGTTTGTTTTTGCGCCGTTTGCCGATTCTCGTTTCCGGCCTTTTATTATTGTCGTTATTGTGCCCCTCGGGTGCACAGCACGGCACAGCACGGCACAGCGGCAGTGGACCGCCGCCACGCTGGAGCAAGGATTGCTCTGGACGCTCTGGGCGCCCTTGCTGTGAACACGGCGTTCAGCATCGCGAACCCTCCGCGAAGTTGGTCTCACCTCTGTACAGCGAGCTGGAGAAGCTGTTGACGGTGGTGGCGCTCTGGATGGAGTTGTGGCGGCGGCACTGCGCGCACCCCGTGGACGCGGTGGAGGCCCTGGGCACGGCGCCGCCGGGCCACCGGCCCCAGGTCGACGGGCTGGGGTGGCCGTGGACGTGTCCGAGGCCGTGGCCGTGCAGCGGGCCGTTGCCCATGAAGCCGTCGCCCATGCCGAGCGCGGCAGCGCCGCCCCTGGCCGCCCAGCGCGCCGCCGTGGCCGCGTTGGACAGTGGCGGCGGCGGCGGGGACGCCGACAGCGACGGCGACGCCGACCCGTCCGACTCCTGGTCCGGGTCCTGCATCCTGGCTGCCTGGTCCTGGAGGCGGTCACGTGATCATGGCCCTGGCCCTGGGCCCCCTGGCCTTCCGGCACCTGCAACAGAGCACAAAAGAGGATCTTAGGCTCCACGCTAATTATTCTTTCTGCGGAACGAGCCCTGGAACCGCGGAGCCGTGGACCAGAGAGAAACCCTCGCGAATTATTGAACGCGTTTTTCCGACTCAACCAGAAAAGGAACAAGAACTCGCTCGGACGGGCCTTGCCGGGCCTGGCCAGGCGCTGCAATGAGGGGAGCGCTAAATCAAATAGACAGTCAAGCAAAAAGCGTTTTTCCGCCGAGCCACGTTTTCCACAGGAATCGAAATGGCAGTGACAGCCTCGTGCTCTCTCGCCCACACACACCCCCACACACACACACACACACTGCCTGCCTCCCGTCCGGCGTAGGGCCTTTTGCACGAAACAGAAAATGTTATTCACCGTAATGGAATGTGGATTCCACAGCGCCGGACCGACTGCCATTATTTGCTTCTGCTCCAATCAATACCAATTGGAGAGCAGTTCCAAATTGAAATGAACCGGTGCGGCCGCGTGCCGCGTTGCCGGCGCCCTGTCCCTCTCGCACCCCCTACGAGACGCTCTGCGAGTGCGAGAGAGACAGCTGCGCTCTTTGCCGCCCTGTCGGGGGCTTTCCTGGTGTGGCGGCCGCCACAGGCGCCGAGCTGTGAAAATCAAGCCGCGGTGTGAAGTGTGGGGCGAGGAATCTCGTCCACGCGCACACGCACACACACACACACACACACACACGCACACACACACACGCACGCGCGCCAAGAGCAATTTTAATATCCGCTATAAATTGCAGGCGAGGGTGCTAGTGCGCTGGCAAAGGCCTCCCATTCCAGCGGCTGAGCCTACACCGTGTCACGACCCACCCTTTTAACAGTGAATCATGCTTTACTTATTTATTCATTTATGAGGCGAATAAAGCGCGGGGATTGCACCTCTTTCATTTTTTAAAACTGTTGTTTTTGTGCTTAATTCACGTTTTTACTTTTTTGACGGATTATTGTGGTCAGTGTTATACAGTAAAACTGAATACCGAAATCACTCTTTTCGTCAATAATGTCACAATGTGAAAGCATCCATGATAAAATTATCAACCAACTTTTTTTTTCCAGCAGTGTGCATCAGGAGCTGCTCCTGTCCAGTCCTCATCACTGGCGCCATTCGCGTGTCCTCGCGTCGACAACGCGCGCACAAAGAGCGACGAAAAAACTGTTTTGAATACAATTTCATCTCCGACTCTCCCTCTCTCCCCCTGCTTCCCCGTGCTCGCTGCGTGAGAGTCCTTGCCCTCCCCTTGCAGCTGCTGCTGATATGGCTCATTATGTAGCGCCCCTGAGACTCCAAGTATCACCTGTACACGCCGAACCAAGGCGGGAAATGGCACCCCGTGGAAATGGCTCGTCAAAGGAAGCATCAAAGAAAACTGCGCCGTACGTAGGGAGTTCGATTTCCGGGCCTTTTTGGCATTCATAATTCACCGTGCACAAAAATAGCTGGCGCTGAGTTTCCGGAGTTGGAAGGGGAAATAAGGGGGAAAGGGGGTGGGGAGGGAGGGTAGCAACAAGCGCCACTTTGCCCCCCCCCTCCCCCCTTTTCCCGCGTACCAACCCCCATCAGATTGCTAAATCCCGCCTTAAATATTACGGCCTGGGGAATATTTCCGCAGACGACCTTAATGCAACTGCTGTGTGTGTGTGTGTGTGTGTGTGTGTGTGTGTGTGAATGTGCCTTCCTTCTGGTGTGTGTGCTGACCCCCCCAAACGCGTTCCGTCTCACTCCGGACGCAATATCCTTGCACTGGGCGCGCCGCGCCGCGAGCAGAGCGAGCAGAGCGAGCAAGAGCCCTCCTTCCTTACACTTTCGCCCGAACTGCTTCACGTAAAGCCAATGTCCCTGCGGCTGTAATCTAGCCAGAGGGGGAGGGAGAGAGAGAGAGCATTGTCAATTCTTCAGGTGGTGCGGAGCAGTCCGCCAAGCTGCACAAGCGGCGAACTAAGTAACGCCGGGCCGAGGGAGAGTTGGGGATTAGTGTGTGTGTGTGTGTGTGTGGTGTGTGTGTGTGAAACCCGCCCTACCCCTTCCAGCCGTTGCCGTAAAACCCCGCACCCTTGCCGGCCCGGCCCGGTGGAAGCCATGGGCAAGGCCATGGGCCACACTCCTCTCTCTCTCTCTAACCGTCCTCACGAGCTTATCTGCGCGCTCAGGTGCGTGTTTTCAGTTTCAGCTTAGAATGTGCTCGCCCCTCGGCAAAGCCCTGTAAATAACTGTAATGACCCACTTGGCGAGTTCACCCCTGTTATGGCCTCTCTCTTCTTTCCTTCCTTGCCGCCGAAATCGAGCAAACAGCGTCTGTTTTCTCGGGCAGCAGTTTTCGCGGCGCTGGCTGAAGCTGCCTGGCGCTGCCACAACAGCCGGCGGCGAGGCGGCGGCGAAGAGGCGCCAATTCCTCCGGGACAACAGTGGAGCCCGACGGCAAGCCCGACTAAGCCGTCATCGGGAAATGAAATCAGTTGCCGGCGGCCTCGTCCGATGGCGGACGCGCCGACGAGGGATTTGAATCAATCAAACTGCGAGGCACTGCCCGGCCTTGCCCCGCGCCACACTGTAGAGGCCTTCGTAAAGTGCTTCGGTCGAGTCTATGTAGCTTGACCCACCTCAGTTGACCTACCTATATATTAATTAATAAAAATATTAATATAAATATTAGAATATAAATATGGGAATATAAATAGGAGTAATATAAATATTACCAAAAAAAGTTGACCCACCCCAGAGTTGACCTACCCTATATTTTTGACTTGACCGACGAAGCGCGACGGCCTCGCGGCAGGGGAAGCGCGACGGCCTCGCGGCAGGGGAAGCGCGACAGTGTCGCGGCAGGAGGAAGCGCGACAGTGTCGCGGCAGGGGAAGCGCGACAGTGTCGCGGCAGGGGAAGCGCGACAGTGTCGCGGCAGGGGAAGCGCGACAGTGTCGCGGCAAAGGAAGCGCGACAGTGTCGCGGCAGGGGAAGCGCGACAGTGTCGCGGCAGGGGAAGCGCGACAGTGTCGCGGCAGGGGAAGCGCGACAGTGTCGCGGCAGGGGAAGCGCGACAGTGTCGCGGCAGGGGAAGCGCGACAGTGTCGCGGCAAAGGAAGCGCGATAGTGTCGCGGCAGGGGAAGCGCGACAGTGTCGCGGCAAAGGAAGCGCGACAGTGTCGCGGCAGGGGAAGCGCGACGGCCTCGCGGCAGGGGAAGCGCGATCGTGTCGCGGCAGGGGAAGCGCGACGGCCTCGCGGCAGGGGAAGCGCGACAGTGTCGCGGCAAAGGAAGCGCGATAGTGTCGCGGCAGGGGAAGCGCGACAGAGTCGCGGCAAAGGAAGCGCGACAGTGTCGCGGCAGGGGAAGCGCGACAGTGTCGCGGCAGGGGAAGCGCGACGGCCTCGCGGCAGGGGAAGCGCGACAGTGTCGCGGCAAAGGAAGCGCGATAGTGTCGCGGCAGGGGAAGCGCGACAGTGTCGCGGCAGGGGAAGCGCGACGGCCTCGCGGCCAGGGCCGCCGGAAGTACTTTCTGGTGGGGGGGACGAAATTTTTATGAAAAATTGTTGGGTTGCCTACCGTTAAGGGGCAACACCCAATACGGTTTAGACTGCTCTAATAGTGTTCCAAATCCAGCAAACGAAGCAAGCTTAAAGCGAAAATTCACACAATTCTAGACTTTAACACAACTTTTGCCATTTTTAGAGCTTAATCACACGCTTTATTGGTGGGCGAAGCGAGCCAAACGGCAAAATACTAGGGGAAAATTAAAAAAACCTGCGAGCGAAGCGAGCAAGAAGCCAAAAATCAAAGAATTTGCGACATTGCTATATTTTTCTCTCTATTTCGAGCTCAAAATGGCACTTTAGTGTCTGAAAGTGGGGGGGGGGGATGCCAAACAGCAAGGCTGTGCCAG